TAATAGTACCCACCTCATGGGTCAGCTGGGAAGCACAAGCATAATACCAGAAGTACGTAACACACGCGGGTAGTGCTTGGCATGTGTACACTAAGTGCTATAAAGTGTTGGCTGACTGGGGTGCCCTGGTGGGGGGGCTCAGTCGGTTCAGCATCTGACCTCCACTCAGGTCATGATCTCACAGTTCAGCTCGAAGCCTGGAGCCTGCTTCGGATTCTGTGTCTCCCTCCCTCCCTCCCCCTCCCCCACTCGCACTCTGTCTCTCTCTCTCAAAAATAAATATTAAAAATTAAAAAAAAAGCGTTCGCTGATACCTCGCTTTGTGCTCGCTGACATCCAGCAGGCAACTTTCTGGTCAGTTGCAGTGACTACGAGGCTGAGCCTTCCAGTCCCTAATTCCTGAGAGTCCCCAAATGGGCTCTGCTTCTTCCCACTCGCCCCGTGCCGAGAGCCCACGGGCAGGTGGCTGGCGTGGCCGCAGCGCCTTTCCAGGGACCACGCACTCAGGGCTGCTGCATGTTATGGACTGAATGTTTGTGGCCACCCAAAATTCGTGTGTTGACCCTGCGGTGTGATGGTCATCAGGAGGTGGGGACTTTCAGAGGTACATCGGTTTCGATGACATCGTGAGGGTGGAGCCCCAGCGTCCCAAGGGGAGGAAGAGACACTAGAGCCTCTTCTCTCCACCAGGCAGAGTCACCGTGGGAAGGTGGCCATGTGCAGAGCAGGAAGTGGGCCCTCACCAGGCACAGAACCTGCCAGCACCTTGATCTTAGATGCCCCAGCCTCCAGACTGGGAGAAATGAGGGTCTGTGGTTTAAGCGGCCCGCTCTATGGGCAGCCTGAGCCGACTAAGACACAGGGGACCGTGGCCTGAGCCAGGATGCAGTGTGCCCGCTGCAAGGAACAGAGAGAAATAAAGTGGCACAGGTAGGGGACAGCCTGCCACCTGCTTGAGGAGCCGGCTTCCTTTCCCCTTGATTTTACTGGTGGGGTTGAGGAAATAGAGGCATTCAGAGATGGAAAGGGAGAGAGAAGCCCCCAGCCCCAGGGCAGCAGTACGGGATCCCAGGGCTGGAGGGTGTGGTGGCTGTGGCCGTGGGGGAGGGGAGTCGGGAGCCCTGGGCAGGCACCCAACAGGCGGGGTCCACACACATCTCCCTGTGTCGGAAGCCACAGAAACGGAAAAGCTCTCTGTCGGGAGAAGTTTGAGGGGGATTTAGGCATTCCCTGCCCCAGGGGTTCCCGGCAGGAGGCATGACTTGGATGTCAGGGGCCTCTGGGAAGGTCTGACGATGATGACAGATCAGTGCTCTGAGCTTCCAGAGGAGAACAAACTGATAAACTGGATGCCATTTTTAAATGACCATTTGTGGGGCGCCTGGGTGGCTCAGTCGGTTAAGCGTCTGACTTTGGCTCAGGTCATGATCTCACGGTTTGTGGGTTCGAGCCCCACGTCAGGCTCTGTGCTGACAGCTCAGAGCCTGGAGCCTGTTTCAGACTCTGTGTCTCCCTCTCTCTGACCCTCCCCTGCTCATGCTCTCTCTCAGAAATAAAGAAAACATTAAATAAATAAATAAATAAATAAATAAATAACCGTTTGCTCTTCAAAAGCCATTGTTCAGAGAATGAAACGACAAGCCACAGACTGGGAGAAAGTATTTGTCGAATGTGTATCTGATGAAAGACCAGTCTCCAGAATATACAAAGAGCTCTTAAAATTCAACAATAAGAAAACAAAAAACCCAGTTTAAAAAATGGGCAAAAGATCTGAAGGGACACCTCACCAAAGAAGATATTCACATGACAAACACAGGAAAAGATGCTCAGTGTCACCGTCATTAGGGAATTGCAAATAAAGCCACAATGAGATACTACTACACACCCATTAGGGTGGATAAAATCCAAAACCGTGACACCACCAAATGCTGGTGAGGATGTGGAGCCACGGGGACCCTCATACATTTGTCAAGAACGAAAAAAGTGCACAGGCCACTTTGGAAGAGCTTGGCTTTTTGTTTTTTTAGGTTTATTTGAGAGAGAGGAGGTGTGAGCAGGGGAGGGGCAGACAGAGAGGGAGAGACACAGAATCCCAGGCAGGCTCCGCACTGTCAGTGTAGAGCCCGATGTGGGGCTTGAGCCCACGAATGGGGAGATCATGACCTGACCCGAAGTTGGATGCCTAACTGGCTGAGCCACCAAGGTGCCTCTTAAGAAAAACAAAAACAAAAACAAAAACAACCCCAAACCACTAAACTAAATATACTTATACCATGTGATCGAGCAATTGTGCTCCTTGGTATTTACTCAAAGGAGCTGAAAACGTATGTCCACACAAAAACCAGCACGTGAATGTTTATATCAGCTTTATTCATAATTGCCCAAAATTGGCATCAATCAAGATGTCTGTGGGTAAAGAAACGAACCTGGGTACATCAACAAAATGGAATATTATTCAGCAACAGAAGGCAATGAGCTGTGAAATCATGAAAAGACAAGGAAGAACCTTAAATACATATTGCTAAGTGAGTGAAACCAATCTGGAAAGGCTAGTTACTGTACAGTTCCAACTATATGATATTCTGAAATATGTATGAGGTATGGAGGTAGCAAAAAAAAAAAAAAACTTGGTTGCCAGTCTAATTAAGAAAAGAATGGTTTTGGGGCACCTCGGTGGCTCATTTGGTTAAGCGTCTGACTCTTGGGTTCAGTTCAGGTCATGATCTGATGGTTTTTTGAGTTTTGAGTCCCATGTAGGGCTCTGTGCTGGCAGCCGCTGCCTGCTTAGGATTCTCTCTCTCCCTCCTTCTGTGCCCCTCCCTTTCTCGTGCTGTCTCTCTCTCAAAACAAACTTAAAAAAATATTAAAAAAAAAAAAAAGAATGGCTTCAATTTCTTTCATGTATATTTTCCTACCTGGGAAATCCATTTCTTTCACAAATGGTATTTCTGAGGCACTTCTCCATCTTATCCAAATTGCCAAATTTATTGGTCAATTTATAATATCCTCTCATTATATTTTTAGTGTGCATAGGATCTGCAGAGATGCCCTCTTATTCACACATGATATTGATACTTTGTTCACTAGAGCCTTATCCACTAGTACAATGCTTTTCTAATTCGTAGGTTTCTGCTTTTACACTTCCTTCCTTCTACTTTCTTTAGGATTTATACCTTTATTTCTCTGTCTTTTTGAGATGAAGATACTCTCTTTGGTTTCAATCATTTGAAATTTGATACTCTACCTGTACTTGAAATAATATGAATTCTGTTGCTAGGCAGTATTCTATTTCAATAAGATCAAATGTGTTAATTGTGTTGTCCAGATCCTCTATATCTCTATTATTTCTTGTCTGTTTGTTCTTAAGATACTGAGAGAGGTGTAATAAAATCCTTCGTTATGGTTATGGAGACATTAATTCTGTCCATTTTTGCTTTGCAGTTTAAATTGATGTTATTGCATGCATACAGATTTATGATCATGGTAACTTTCTGTTGTATCGACTTTTTGATCTTTATAAAATGTTCCTCTTTATTATTTTTTAAAAATCCTTCTTGCCTTAAAATCTTTGTCTGATATTAGTATAACAGCACCCTTTTGATCCTTTTGCTTTCAGACTGTGTTTATATACTTAACATGTGTCTCTTGTGAACAGCATACAATTTAAAAAAAAAAAAACATTGAACAAGCCTAAATTGAATTTTTTCCCAGTATTTTAAAGATGTTGTTTCATTGTCTTCTGGCTTCCACTGTTTCTTTTGAGAAGGGAGCTGCTTGTTGATCCTTTGAAGATAAAGGGTATTTTTTTTCCCTTTGTCTTTAAGATTCTCACATTACCTTTTTCTTCCCCAGGAGTCTTACAATGAGGTGTATGTGTGTCTATGTGGGGTTTTTTTGTTTTTGTTTTTTGAAAACTAAACTCCAGGGGCACCTGGGTGGCTCAGTTGGTTAAGCATCCGACTTCGGCTCAGGTCATAATCTCACAAATTCATGGGTTCAAGCCCCGCGTCAGGCTCTGCCCTGACAGCAAGGAACCTGCTTGGGATTTTCTCTCTCCTTGTCCCTCTGTCTCTCCCCCCTCACATTTTCCTCCCTCTCTCTCAAAATGTATAAATAAACTTAAAAGAATTAAAAGCTAATCTTCAGACTTTATAGGGATGTCACCAGCTCTTCCAATAACATCCTTTTTCTGTTTCGGGGTCCAATCCAGGGCACCACATTGCATTTCGTTTTCAGGTTCCCTGTCTCCTTTTCTAGGAGTTTCAAAGTCCTACTTTGTTTTCGTGACCTCCTGGAAGAGTGCTAGTCAGATTAGCCTATGGAAGAAGGCCCCATCATCTGGGTTTGTCTGGTATTTTCATGTTTAGACTGGGGCTACGGGATTGGGGAAAGAATATCAGAAGCAAAGTCCCAGCCTCCAGACTGAGTGAGATCTGCTGAGTTTATCTGAATCCCTGGGTTAATGTGTTTCACTGATTTGGGCCAATTTAATTTCGGCCAAACAGACAGCTCCCAGGCCCCTGGGGTGCCCCGCCTGGATCAAGGCATCCCTGGATGTCCTGTGGATGCACGTTAGGTGTGTTAGGTGTGTTTTATTGTTTGCAACAGCTAGCTGGTGCAAGACTAGAGCATCTCACGGTTCCTTCTTCCTCCCTCCCTGGGGGTTAGGGTGCGAGCCTGATGCCTGTCTATTCCTCGCCGATAACAGGTGTCTTCCCACACCCTTTCTACCTTCACCTGCTCTTCTCTCCCTCCCCGTGAGCCAAGTCTAAGAACAGCCCCAGATCCGAAGGGCCAGCGATGAGTTCGCCTCCCTTCCTCTCTGCAGGATGACGAGGCTTCAATGGAACAGTGTCGGAGAAAACTTCAGCCCAAATATATTCTCTCCAGGGAGGAGAATTACCAAACAGCTACACGAACACCGCCCCCCACCCCAAGAATCTGATCGTTGCTGCCTGTGACGTGGCTTGTGTGAATGAAGCAACTGACAGTTGACGGTCGGGCAGCAAGATAACGGCAGGTCATTGCGTCCAAGACTAACCAAGTTTTATTTGAAAATAATATTAAATTTTCTTCATTCATTCTTGGATAGGTTTATCCTGTAGTAGAACTTGTTCATGCAACAACAACAAAAACGATCAAAGGTATATGGTCGGCTGCTCTCTGGAGCCTGGAGCAGGGGCAGATGGCTGGTGGGGGGCGGGGAGGGGGGACCGCTCTGTTCACGTCTCTCAGGCTGTATCTGGGCTGGCGTCTCAGGGGCTCCCGCAAGCCCACAAGCTCTGGAGCGGGCGAAGCGGGGAAGGAGGCAGAGGAGGGGCTCTGGGTGGGATCCAGTCATCTTCCTCCGCGGCCCCTTTCTCCACCTCTACCGCCCGAATTCCTGGTCCTCAGCCCTGCCCTCCACCCGATTACCCTGGCCTGAGCTTGCTTCCAGCTTCCGAACCACCTGGATCTGGAGGCTTTAACCCTTTTGGCTCTCATGTTCGGCCACCCGTCCACCCCAGCCAGGCGCGCAGCCCCTCAAAGCCACGCTCTCGATCTACCCCACTCTGGGATCTCGCCCAAGGTCATTCCTCCTTCGGAAGGTAAAACTGACCACTCCTCACCCCCTCAGTCTCGGTCCTGCCTCATGATGAATCGGAAAGGTGTGAAAGAAGAGAGAGCTTCCTTCCAGGGGTGGGTGCCAGACAGGGGGAGTCGGCGTCTAAGGGTGAGGCTGCTAATCTTTCCTGAGGCTGGCCAGGAGCCAGCCACTGGGCCAGGGGCCCGGTGGACAATTGTCCACCCCCCCCCACCCCAAGGTCTTGGCGCAGAGGAAGTGGAGGCTCAAGAACGCTAATTAACTTCCTTCTGGTCATTTAGCTAGGTTAACTGAGCTGCTATCGAATCCATGGCTGTCCTGTCCCCCAAGGCTCGCAGATCCATAAGGGGCTTGCAAGTGAATGTTCCAGGTCCTGATTGGAGGCAGGTGAAGGATTAGTGCTGTTTTTCAAAAGACCCGGGGAATTTGCATGCGTGTGTGTGTGTGTGTGTGTGTGTGTGTGTGTGTGTGTGTTAATGTGAGAAAGAGAGAGAGAGAGAGGTGGGGGGCGGTACTGAAAGTCTGGAAACAAATTCCTATCCTTGTTTCTCCCATCTGAACTCCAGAGTAGAGGGGACTCAACTGCAGATATAAAGGGTTCCCCAAGTCTTTGACAAAGTAAAAGGGGGTCTGGCCAAGGTCGGGAGAGGAGGCCTAAACCAGACCCCAGAGCACCAGAGGCTCAGATCTTTCTAGAAAGGATCCCAGACCACCCTAGTGGCCGGGGCCTTTGGAGGTCAGCTTGTCCATCCCTCTCCAGTCTCCCAAGAGGAATCTGAGGGGCTGGGTGGCCAGCCGCTCTCTCCCCAATGCCTGTGTCTTTCCTGAACGGAGCCCCGAGGACCCAGAATCCACCAAGCCCCCACCGCCTGCAACAGAGGGCGGTTCAGTTCTCCACAGGGAGCGAGCGTGGGGCCGTGGGGAGTGGCTCCGAGGAGGCTGCCTGCCCAGGGCTTCCCAGGCCGGCTGCTGAGGGCCCCGCTAGGGCAGAGCTCCGCTGAACGTCATGATGGGCAGGCAGAGGAGCGAGCAGAGGTCGGGTGAGGCCTGGGCGTGGGGGCCCGGGAACCTCTGGGGTTGGGGGCACGGGCCGCTCTTCTCCGGCTTGTAGCAGGGCGAGACCTCACACCTGTGGGGCAGGCGCGAGTTAAGGGCAGCCCCCCTCACCCCTGCAGCTCCTTCTGGGGGCTCTAGGGGGTGGCGTAGAAGTGGGTCCCCTCCCTGGGCCCCCTTCCTACCGGACGACGCTCTGCACGATCTTCCTCTCATCCTGGTCCAGACACACGGCGAAGGAGCAGCCGCCGGAGCCGATGATCTGCACCTTGTCCACTTTGATCTGTGACGTGCTAATCTGCAAGCAAGGCCCCCATCAGCCCCGATCGCCGGCCCCCTCGAACTGCCAGCCCTCGGCAGCTCTGTCCCTGGGCCTGTCCCCAAGCCCAGCAGCAGGTCTCAGGGGCTGACGGCCTCCATCAGGCCCTCCCTCCTCCCTGGCCCCCACCCTCCCGGAGTCTGGAAGAAACATGCCCCTGCCCCCCCAAACCCCGGGACAAAGCCTGCTGCCCTCCCTCGTGAGGTCCGGGGTCCGTGACAAGGAGCCTTTGCACGCAGACATGTCTTCCCACGGGGCTCCCCTTCCGCCCCTGACACCCACGGAGGGCGCACCGCAAACTGCACCCCATTCATTGGCGCATGCACACACACAGGCAGGTGCCTGCATGCGCCCCGGGCTCCCGCAGGGCGTGGCTGTGAAGAGAGGGCGCCCTTACCTGGTTGAAGCCCTTCTTGGACTTGGGGTTCTGCCTCTTCACCACTTCGGTCAGGTTTAGCGTCAGGGCCTCCGTGCTGGAGTCTGTGGGGCGGGGGGTGGGGGGGGCTCAGGCCAGGCTCGGGGCCCCTTTCCTCCCCTCCCTGCACCCCGCCGTGCGCTCACCTAGCTCCTCCAGCTTCCGGCAAGCCTTGCTGAGGTTCACGGACGTGCACACCTTCTCCATGTCGCTCCAGCGGCTTCGCCCACTGATGGCCCCCTGGGAACACAGCAGAGCCAGACTCTTTCAGGGCTGGGGGGGGGGAGGAGGAGGGGCGAGGAAGGGGGTGCGGGGCCTGTTACCTGCTCTTCACACAGGTGGCCCCAGACCCACACATTCACCTGAGTCTGCTGGCTCGTGCACCAAGAACCGTCTGACCCCCATATAGACCTTGATGGCCCAGGAAGGAGCGTTAGGTGCCCGGCCTGGTCCATGGATCAGAGGGTGCGAGAGCTCAGAGCATCTCGAAGGGTCATGTCGATGATGGCTGAGCCCCGAGTGAAGAAGAGAGGGGCCCGCGGGCCTGGGGTCCCAGACAGGGCCAGGCCGGAACCCCTCCTGAGGTCTGGATTTCTCTTTCACTGGGGCATCCGCGTTGCCAAACTCAAGTGCACGTCTCAGTCCCGGGCTTCCCTGACCTCACGGGAGGGCCTGGCTGTGCCCACTGCCGCCTGCACACTCCTGCCCCTGGCTGGGGCCTGCCCGCCCGCCATCCCACGGCGGGGGGCTCGGGGGCCTTCTCCCCGGCCCTGCGCTCTCTGCCCCGCTAGTCTCTCCGAGATGGTGGCTCCTACACACCCATCTCCCCGCCGCCCCCGAGCCCAGGCCCAGCCATGCAGCTGCGAGTTCTCGCCGCAGACTCCACCCCTCCCACCCTCACGGCCTCCCCGCACCCGACCGGGGCTGCTTCTGGTCGCGGAAGACTGAAAGCCAGGACTTTGGGGCTCCTGTTTTCTGGTCCGTCCCTAAGCCCTGCTGCTCGCAGAACTCACCTCCCCGAATGCAGGCCACCCACGTTTCCTCCTGGACACCCAGCCAGAGCCACCTAACAGGCCCTCCCACGTCCCCCATGGACCCCTGCAGCCTGAGGGAGCTTCCAGACCTCAGACCCACCCAACTGGAGCCCCTTCAAAGGGTACCCACTGCTCTTGGGACAAGGACAACATTCAAGGCCCTGGGTGTTCTGGCCCTGCCAGTTCCGTTAGCCTCACCCATGCACGGTCTCTGCTCCAGTTCCTCTGGCCTCCTCAGTGCTCTGTGAGGACACGTTCCCTCCTACCCCAGGGCCTTTGCACATGCCGTTCTCGCTGCCCGGAGAGCACATCCCTCTCTTCGTAGCCTAATTAACTAACTCCTCGTTTTCCTTCCAGTACTGACTCGATGTCCCTTCTCAGGGAAGTCTTGTGTGGCCTTCCTGACCAGACTGAATGATCCTCTTAAAGGTTCTCAAGGGACCGTGAACCTCTCCTTCACCTGTTTGTCACAGCTGTACTTATACGTTGTGTGGAATCACCTAAGCAATGTCTACTGCTCCCTCTGGACCGCAAGCACTTGGTGACTCTCGGGACCCCCCCCCCCCCCCCGTCTGGGCCATGGTAGGTATTTCCCAAACACCTGGCGCCCAGTGCTCAGACAGTAGTCCTTCCTGCCCACTTCCTTGGCTGCTGTCTCCCCTCCTCAACAGAGCTGGCATGAGTGGGGCTAAATGAGGATCTTTTGAATGACTGAAGGAAGGAAAGGGGGTTGGGGGATCCCCATTTTGAGGTCAAGCCTCTCATGGCCTGTACCCCGGGTGTGATGCTCAGAGACCCATGCCGCCGCTCCCTCCTGCACCCCACAAATCCTGTGGTTCCCTTCTGACCCGGGTCCCAGCACGCACGCACCCCACTGGGCACCGCAGCCCTGCAGACCTCGGGCTCTCCCTCTGGATGCCGCACCCCTGCCCCTCTCACCCTCAGCCCTGCAGCCGGGCCCTAACACTTCACGGTAGGTGCTGAGCACATCTGGGGGGGATGGGTGGTGGGGGGAGAAGGAAGTCCCCTCCCTCCCCTTCCCTCCAGGGCAGCCTCCCGGCTGAAAGACTGGGGCCCAGGAACACAGGGAGCTGAGGAAGGGTCAGGAGCCCCAGCACCCGCCTCACCTTGCTGTAAATAATCTGTAGTGTTAGAGGGATGGCTTCCCGGTCACCATCGATGCCCAGGCGCTTGCTGCCAGGACCTGAGACACAGAGACAGACCTTCACTCCCTCTCCTTTCAGGGGGCCCCTCACAGACCCGGGGGCCCCATCTGCCGGGCCCGTCTCCTCTCCTCCTTTTCCCATCCCCCTCCCTGCACCAGCTCAGAAGCACCCACCAGAAGCCTTGATGGCCCGTGTGGCAGCAGAGTGACCCAGCTCCAAGGAGTGAATGAAGATCTCGGTCATCTTCTCCCCGGTGATGAAGGTCAGCTGCGGAGAGGAGCGGCATCAGCGGGCCCCACCCCCTCCGGCGGCAAGGGCAAGGGCAAGGGCAAGGGCAAGGGCAAGGGGGCGGGGCTGGCCGCGAGGGGCGGGGCTCACCTCCGTCTGGTACACCTGCAGCAGCACCGGCCGGGCGGCGAAGCGGCAGTAATAGAGCAGCATGTCCGCCAGGATGGGCAGCCGCCCGGAGGAGCCGTCCAGGGGCCGGGGCTCGGCCTTCAGGGACTGCTGAGGGCAGGGGGCGCGCGAGGGGGCAGCGTGAGAGGGAGAGGGACACGCAGAGCCAGGGAAGTGGGGGGTGAGATGGCGGCCGGACACGGAATGGCAGGGGCACCCGCAGCCCAGCCTCGCTACACCCGGGTCACCGGCGAGGGCCCTGCTGGGCTGGACAAGGCCGGGGGTGAAGCCTGACTACGGTCCCCTGGGCCCTTCTGGGGACCCTCCCTGTCGCTGCCCTCCATTCGGGCTCAGGCTTGCTTCCCATTGTCCACCTTGACCGCTCAAGTCCAAGGCCTTTCTGGTCCTCCCTGGAGCCTCCAGGCTGGATGCCCGAAGACCAGGGTGACTCCAGCAGGTGCCCCCCCAACCCCCGCCCTGCGGGGGCCCCTACCTGGCACAGGACCTCCGGCGGCAGGTGCATGAGGCCCAGCACGTTGCGCTCATACCAGGGGTCCAGCATGCCGAGGTAGTGGGAGATATCAGTGGTGCTCTCCAGCTCCTGGGGGGGCGGGGCGCCGTCAGCCCGCAGCCCCGGGGGGCCTGCGCCCCAACCCTGCGCACCCCCACTCCGGGCCTCTGCGACGCCCCCTCCCCGCCTGCCCTGAGAGAAGTCTAACAGCTTTTAGTCCACATCACGCTCCGAAGGGCGGCCCCCAAGGGCAGGGGAGGGGCCCCTAAGGGCAGGGGAGGGGCCCCTCCTGGGAGCGAGGCTCTTGCGGGAGATGCCCCCGGAGGCACAGGTGATGCAGGGCGCCCACTCTGCGACCCCTCCCTCCCCACGGAGTGTGGCCAGGCGCGGCGGACGTACTACGGGGCTGGGTTGCCTGGGGGAGTCCGCGGGGAGTGGGGGCGTCTGGCTTGCAGGGGTGGGGCAGGCGCCGGAGCCTCGCTTCACAGGCACGTAGAAGAACTGAAGCTTGAACACCCGTGTGAGGAGGGGGCGGTTGTTCTCCAGCCGCCTGGTGCAGGAAGAAGGCCGTAAGAAGAGAGTCCCTCCCGGGGACCCTAAGGCCGCAGCCCCGGGTGCCCCCACCGGCGCCCGCACCGCGCCCTGGGCCTCACCGCAGGTTGCTGTAGGCCCGAGCCACCTTCCCGGAGATCCGATCGGAGCCGAAGACCACGACGCGGAGCGTGGACGCCTTGGGGTCCTCATCCCCGCTCAGGAAGGGGCGCCGGCGCTGGGGGCGCGAGGCGGGGGCCAGGAGCCAGCTGGGCAGCTGCGCGCTGAGCCTGGGCTGCGGCAGAGAGCGGGAGCGCTGCGGCCGCGCGGGCGGCGGGGCCGCGCCGTCCAGGGGGCTGCAGAGGCTGCCCGCGCGCCGCAGGGGCAGGGCCGCGTCCGCGGCGTCCGCGGCGCCCCGGGAGTCCCTGCGCAGCACCAGCTGGCTCGTGCTCTTGAACAGTTTATAGATCCTGGTGAACTTCTGCCCGGGCCTGCGGTGCGCCCTGCGCCCCTGGCTGCCGGGCCTCCCGGGCCCCTCGGGGGAGGGACTCTCCTCACTGTCCTCCACGTAGCCGCTGTCCACGCCGTCCGAGAGCCCGGACACGAAGGAGGTCAGCAGCTGGCGGGACAGCGTGGGCCCCGAGGCCTGGGACGAGGCGAGGGACAGCGTGGAGTCGTGGAAGACGGAGGAGCTGGTGGAGAGCAGGGAGTCCCTCTGGGCGCAATGCTCTTCCGTTTCCAAGTCCTCCTCCTCCTCATCTTCCTCCTCCTCCTCTTCCTCATCGTCCCCCAGGATCCCTGGTTGGAGCAGCTCCTGTTCCTTGAGCAGAATTTCCTGCAGGATGTCTGAAGGGGAGGCACCGTCTGGGTGTCGGGGCCCGGGAGGAGGGTGAAGGCGGCCCAGGGCTCCAGCACTGCCCCCTGCTCTGTTCCGGGGGGAGCTGGTGGGAGGCAGGTGCACAGACCCGGGACCCCGGAGGAAGCGCCCTGGGAGGTTTGGGGGCGGGGCGGGCACCGCTCACCGAAACTGTCCTGATTCCAATTGTAGCTGTGACACCTGGCGACCGGGATGGGGATGGTGCAGAGTCTGCCGGGCTTGGCCGTGTCTATAAGAGCAGGCGACAGGCGGGGAGGGCTGGAGGGGGCTTGGAGGAGACGCCAGCGCAGGCCACGCGAGACCGAGTGGGAAGCCGGGAGAGGAGCTTCCCTTTCAAGCACCCAGGAAGATGCCAGGCCTTTTTACATGTGTGAACGTGGCCAAGGCTGCCTCCCCGGACAGGACCCTAGCGGGAGCACAGGGCACTGTCTCATCAGGCGTTGGTGCGGAAGACCACAGCCCTTCTGGAACAGAGCTGTGGAAAGGATGTTTTCCAGGCTCCCTGGGGGCAAGGTGTGGCCTCCTAAAGCATGCGCTGAGGACTGGATCTGGGCGCACCTTCTGCATGATCTTTGCTGGGAAAACGAAGCCCCTGCCCCCAGCCAGACGCCTCTCTCTCTCAACTGGCCCCCCGCCCCTCAGGGCTGCTGCAGCACTGGGATCACGACAGCCAGGGTGGAGGGAGGGGGTGGAGGGGGAGGGCGTGGTGGGGAGTCCCTGAAGGCTGTGCGGAAAAGATCCATCTGCCGGATTGGGGGCCTGGAACTGGCCATGGGAAGATGCACCCCGCTCTCCCGGGAGCCTCACCTAAGACCCCAGGGAAGCCGGCTTTCTCTCCCACCGCCTGCAGCTTGGTCCGAAGCCACTGCCGGGCCTCGGCCGCGTCCCCGATGCCAGACGCCAGCTCCTGCGCTTCAGCCGTCTCCGTAAAGATGTCTTCCAGCTCGGCCAGGCTCTTGGACTGAAACCCCAGGAGCAGACGGCCTCGCTGCTGAACCACGGGCCCGCCTGCCCCCACGCCTCCAGGCCCCGGGGTCTCACGGACGGCAGTGCCCACTGGCCTCCTCCCTGCCTCGTTACCCGCCAGTGCTCACAGCTGGCCAGGGAGCCAGGCCCCCCCTCCCCTCGGGCCCCTCTGCTCAGGACACGTGCACCAGAGAAAAGCCCAGAGCCAGAGCCAATTGGGGTATGGTGCTAGTTCAGAGCTCACCACCGTGGCCCAGAGAGGGGAAGGAGCTGTCAGGGGTCACACAGCTGACCTGTCACGGAGCTGGGACCAGTCTAAAGCTCATTCCCAGCCTTGCATGCACCCTCGCCCAGGGCGCCAGCCACCTCTGCAGGGACCCAGTGCGACAGGAGCCTCCCAGTACGGCCAGCCCCCCAGCCCCTTCCTGGCCACAGCTGGTCCAGGTGAGGGGAGGCTACAGCCCCCGGACAGCAGCCAGAGCGGGGCTCTGATCTGATGGAAGTGATGCTGAATAAGCTCCCGGGCCCCAGGCACGTACCTGCAGCCGGCAGTGCAGACCTGGGAGGTCGCAGTGGGCCCCGAAGGTGGCCTGGAAGGCATGGAGGAGCAGCGTGGTGTAGGCGCTGTGCGGGGAGTGCCCAGGGGTGCTCAGCTTGTCCGCCACGGCGAGGAACTCGGCCTGCACCTCCACTGGGTTCAGCAGCAGCACGGTGCTGGGGGCACAGAGACGGGGCTGTGGGGGGGGGGGCAGCGCCGCCGCACCTTGCGTCTGGTCCAGCCGGGGCCCCCTCAGAGCTCCCCCGTCAAGGCCTGCAGCCAGGAGCCGGGCTGGGGTGGGGGGTGCGGGGGGGCTCAAGGGTCCCAGTTCTAAGCAGAAAGCCTACGGTCTGCTTTTGATATCTTTCGGCCACTTTCCAAAGACCTTTTGCAAGTGGAGTTTAATTTTCACAAAACAAATTTTGCCTTCATTTTTTATACATTTTTCCTACTGGGCACGTGAACTGGAGACAGATTAGTCAGGAGGGTTTTAAGGGAGGTGACTTTTTTTCTGCAGGGGGGCGGGGAGCTGGGCATGCAGGCTGGCCGGGAGTTTCGGGCTGGGAAGGGGGGGTCAAGGTGTGGGCTGAGCTGTGAGTCCTCTGCTCATAGAGGAGGCCTTTTGGGACTTGGGGAAGCCACCGGCCAGGCTCGCACGGGGCCTGAGGGGGAGCGTGTGCCGAGCCGGATCCTGGGCTCTTTGCTGGCATTTGCATTTGTTCATTATGGGAAATTTGAGACCCGCCCAAGCATCAAGAGACTCCAAGTGTCACTCGCTCCGTTAACAGTTAACCGCACACACTGTTCTCGCTTCACCCGCCCCCCCCCCCACACACACACTTTGGCTGCATTTTCTCAAAGTGTGTTCAAGCCACCGGGGCCGTCACAGCTACAGATGTTTCAGGATGACCTGCCTGCACTGGTCTTGTGCTCACCGGCCTGCCCTGTGTTTAATTAAACCTGGTTTCACCCCGGTGCAGAGAAGCACCATGCAGGTGCCGTCAGGACCCGGCTCTGCCCGAGTCCCCATCGTTCAGGGGGGAAACTAATGTCAATTTCTCTGTTTGTGAGGAAAAGGGGGGCAGGCCTGCATAAGCGGTCAGCCCCTGACTGAGCCACTCTCCTTCGCCGAGCGCTTGATCACCCCTTCCAGGGACTGGTGCTGAGTCAGCTCCCCTGTGGACCTGTCGGGACCAGCCAGGCGCATGCGCTCACTTCGCACATTTTCCCCGCCTGCTTGTTCCCTCCTGGCGACCGTGAGATCACCACTCTGTTCTAAGCTCCTTCTGCTAACCTCTCCGGGCCTCAGATCTGACAAATACCTTTCTCCAGGGGCTAATGTGGGACTTGGACGTGGCAGTGATACTTAACTTCCAGCAATGCCCGGAGAGTGAGCGGGTGTTGGGGATCAGCCCCGGGTAAGCGCTGTTTACTCACTACACGGAGGCGTTTTTGTACCCTTTCTGGCTCCCCCGAAGGCTGCCTCGGGCTCTGCTGTTTGTTTTTACCTAGAAGGGACTCACAGATGTCTGCTCTACTCTGACTGTGCAGTGAGCCCCGGGGGGCTGGGGATGGGCTGGGGGGACTGGGGTGGCTGTTCTTTCTGAGCTGGTGGAAGTTGGGGTCTTTGGGCTCTCAAGCATCCGGGTGAGGTGGCAGCCACACTTGGCCAGCCAGGACCTGTGAGCAGATAATGGAATCGATTTAGGGGATCACAATCAGAGCTGCCTTTTAAATGAAATAGAATGAGACAGAGCCCATCCTAGGGAGTAGGGGTGAGTTTCACTTTCTAAAACTTGTTTCACTGTGTGTGTGTGTGTGTGTGCGCGCGTGCGCGCGCGCGAGTGCATAGCGGGCTTTCATATAAAATGCAATTTTTAGGGGTTCCTGGCTGGCTCAGTCGGTGGAGCATGGCACTCTTGATCTCAGGGTTGCGAGTTTGAGCCCCACGTTGGGTGTGGAGATTACTTAAAAAATAAAAAAATAAATAACAAAAACCAAAATGCATCTCTTACCGTAGTCCTAGTTTTAAAAAGTTTGGAAAATGCTATTATTTATTTATTATTAAAGTTTTAAAAAATGTTTGTTTATTTTTGAGAGAGAGAGAGACCCAGAGTGTGAGCAGGGGAGGGGCAGAGAGAGGGGGAGACCCAGAATCTGAAACAGCCTCCAGGCTCTGAGCTGGCAGTCAACCCGATGCCAGGGCTGGAACCCACAAACCGTGAGATCATGACCTGAGCCGAAGTCAGATGCTCAACTGACTGAGCCACCCAGGCACCCCAATTTTTTATTTATTTTGTAAACTGTATTTATCTCGAGAGAGAGAGAGAGGAGACAGAGACAGAGACAGAGGGAGAATCCCAAGCAAGCCGGCTCTGTGCTGCTGGTGCGGAGCCCAATAATGTGGGGCTCAAACTCACAAAACTGTGAGATCATGACCTGAGCCGAGATCAAAGGTCAAGCGCTTAACCAACTGAGCCACCCAGGCACCCTGAAAAATGCTATTTTAGTAATGGGCAGAAAGATATCATAGAATGCTTATGAGCTTTTGAGTAAGCCCGAGGTTTAAATCCTGGCTCAGACACTTACTAGCTGTGTGACCTTTGGGAAGTTACTTGGGCTCTCTGACCCCATCTGAAAACTGGGGGTAAAGCGAGGTAAGGTGTGCCCCGTACCTGGCATGATCGATGCAGGTGGTTTTTAACGTTTGTTTCGTGTTTAAGTCTCAGAGCCATTTAGAAATCTGAGGAAAGCCTCTTGGCCCAGAGAAACAAATGTCACCAGGGGTTTCCTGGGGGTTCCTGGTCCTCTTGAAGGCTTTGCTGGTGCTGGGGATTTGGCGGCGCAGTGAGGAGGGAAAGCCAGATGCACGGCGTGGGGTGTGGGAGTGGGACCCCCCAGACAGCACTCACATGGTGGAGCTGCGGTGACTCCCGATGGGCAGGCCCTGCTCGGCCCTCACCAGCCGCTGGTAGGAGATCCCTGTCGCGAGAACAAACGAGAGTTGGTAGGTTTATCTGTTCCCGCAGCGGTGTGGTCTCACGCACGCTGTGGCCCCGCACCGGCCAGTGAGCTTGGGGGCCCGGGATGAGACTCAGGCCCCGGTGGATCCACCGCTCAGAGATGGTGGGCACAGCGCCCAAGGTTGCGAGCCGGCCGGCCTGCTGCCCGGGACTTCCCTGGCCACCGGGGGGCACGGGGACCCTCCCAAGGGCGTGCGGGGCCCCAGCTCCGTCTCCACCCGCCCTCCGTGCCCCTGCCTGGCTTCCCACGGGCTCTCAGGGCAGCTTGGTCTCCCTGAGGCTGCCCCTCCCAGGCTGAGTCCTGCCCCTGCCCCCCGCCCCCCCGTCCCCGCCCCTGCCCCCCACCCCCGTCCCTTCTCTCCAGCCTCGTCTGCCTCATCAGCCTAAAGTCTCTCGTTTTCTCCTGCAACTTGATCAGGCCCGTGGCTGGAAAACCCCCGACAGTAAGGGTTCAGTTGTGTATCCACCACGACGAGATTAAACAACACTGGCCCCCCTCCCTGCCAGGGGCACCAGAGGCAGGGGCTGGGATGGGGGTCCGGCAGCCTCAGCGGGGCCCTGTCAGGGAGCAAGCCCACTCGGGACTTCGTGTGGGCCCGGAGCAGGAAGGCGACCCCCTCAGGCAGGTGCAAAGCCAGGACCGGGGTCAGAGACGGCTGTAAACAGAAAGGCCGTCCTTTTCATTCCGGCAATGGCGGAAAATCACTAGTTCCTGCTATTCTAATTTAGGACCTAATTGCTTTGATTTGGGGCCTTTTGTCTGATGTTCCTCTTAGGAAACTGTCATATGCTCAGAAGTTGAAGTTATGCCTATTTTGATAGGAAAGTCCCTGAAACAGTGGCCCCCGTCATGGGGACCTGGGACACCATCTGGTGGCCACTCGGGTGCATGACAGAGGCCAGCTCCCCTCCTCGCCCCCTGCAAGCCCCCCAGGGACATTTTGTAGTGGAGACGGGCCCCCCTCCCCCCCACTTCAGATCACAGCCAAGTGAGGTCTTCTCTCCACCCTTCTGTACACATTCCTTTTACTATGGAAGGAAGTTCAAAGGCCTTGCCCACACACACGAGGCCCTGAGCAATCGGCGCCCGGTTTCCCCAGCTAAGCTTCCGCCCTTGTTTAAAGGTGTGACCAGACGTGGCCGCTCCGCACGGGACAGCTGGCCGTGCCAACCCCTGCTCATGCCATCATCACGCCATCACGCCAGCCCTGGCTGCAAGTTCACGACACTTGCAGACGTGTCCATGCCGCAGACGTGCATGGTACCACAGGCCACACCGCCCGTGACCCCCACCGGGAGGCAGACATCTGTTTCAGGAAGACACCGGGGCTCACAGGAAGCAGGGACGAAGCCCCACGTGGGTGGAAATCCTAGCCCGAGACTAGATCGAGTCCTTTGTTCAGCATCCGTGAGGACTGTCCACTCCCGTCGGAGAGTTTGAGAGTCTGATCTACATCCCACCCCCGGGCTTCTCAGATTTTCCTCACTTAGGGACCCCTGAGTAGCCCCTTCCTGCGCCCACCCCAGGCGTGGGGTCCTGGTTCTATGGAGAGTCTAGAGGGACCCACAGAAATGCCTGTGGGATGGCCTCCAGCTCTGCCGGGCCACCAGGCCTGGGGGGTGGGGGGGAAAGAGCAAGGTGGGACATGCAGCCCCAGCCGGTGGTCCCGCGACAGGCCCAGTCTGGCTCTTCCGGGCCCCTTACTAAGGGGTCACACGTGGCAGAGACCCGTAGGCATCTCCACAACACCCTTCCCTCTTCGTTACCAAATTGCCCAGGTTAATAGGTCACATTTTCCCACCTCCCTTGCAGCGTTGGGTGGGGGCTTCTAGAAGCCCCCATTTTGCAACCCTCCTTTCCTCCCTTCCGTTAACTGGAATGGGGACGCTCCTGTGGCCATGAGACCGAGAAGTGACACCAAGGGCAATGTCTCCTGCTAGGGATGGTGGAACAGAAACAAGGGATGGTTCTGGAATGTTCAGCCCTGTACCAAGCCGGGGCTGCCTTCCACTGGGATTTTTTTTTTTTTTTATGAAAGAAAAAAAAATAATAAACCCCTCTGAGTTGCCACCACTGTGATTTTGGGGTTCCTGTTTGGGGCCACCAGCTTACTTCTAACCCATCACGCCCTGTGGTTTCTGGAACCTTCCCTTCCCAACATCTCTCCACTGGGACGCTGTGATACAAGAAATCCATCTTTGGTTGTAATGTCGTCTTTCAGTTGCAGGATCCTACCCAGCGTATGGCATGTAGCGATTTCTCCCCGGCCTCCTCTGCCCCATAACGATTCCTCAGTTTCTCCTGGGGACACCTATGCGTTTGGGGTCAGATGTTCTGTGAGTAAACCCTCCCCACCCTGCTAGTCAACGATGTTTGATTTTCCTTCAAGGGATCCATGCCTTTCATCCCATCATTGGAGACTAAAAAAAAAAAAGTATGAAATAGAAACGTCTATGATCAGTAAGGTCTCAAGGGAAACTTATTCCCACTGAAGAATAGTCAGAATTCACCTGCTATCAGCTGATGGGCAGAGGGGACCGAGCCCAGGTTCATACCTGCTTTGACAGAAGGGCAAAGGGTCGAAGGTACCAAAGTGAAATGGCCCAGGGAGCAAAGTGCTTACAAAATGGTGGCTGGGACGGGGCGCCTGGTGGCTCAGTTGGTAAAGCATCCAACGTCAGCACAGGTCATGATCTCATGGTTCAAGAGTTTGAGCCTCACGTCGGGCTCTGTGCTGACAGCTCAGAGCCTGGAGCCTGCTTCAGATTCTGTGTCTCCCTCTCTCTCTCTCTGCCCCTCCCCTGCTCACACTCTGTTTCTCTCTCTCTCTCAAAAAATAAACAAACATTAAAAAAAAAAAAAAAAGGCAGCTGGGACACACAATGGTCTGCCTGTGCCTCTTGGCACATAAATAGTTCTTTGCAAATGTGAGAATATGTTTCCAGCATCGAAGGACATAGTTTTGGGAATCAAACAGATATAGCTTTAAGGGAGTAGAGCTCTTGTCAGCTACATGAGCATGGGCAACGTCTGAAGTTCAGGTTCATCCCTGGAAGACAGAAATAATAGTAAATACCCAGGTCGGGGGGCGGGTTTCGGAGGACAGATAAACCAACCCGAGCATGGCCGTCATCATCATCACCATCAACAATGACGATCCTACTATTTTTTTAATGTTAATTTATTTTGAGAGAGAGAGACAGAGCTTGAGCAGGGGAGGGGCAGAGAGAGAGGGAGACACAGAATCCAAAGCAGGCTCCAGGCTCTGAACTGTCAGCACAGAGCCCTACGCGGGGCTTGAACTCCTAAACTCTGAGAGCGATCACAACCTGAGCCAAAACCAAGAATCAGACGCTGAACCGACGGAGCCGCCCAGGCGTCCCGTGGTCCTACTTTTGACAGGGAGGCTCAGAGAGCTTCCATCCTGTCTAAGGAAACCAGCCAGTAAGTGACAACACAGAGGTCACACCCCGGCCCTTCTCTCACCCCCGACTTTACAGCTCGGGCAAGAAGCATGAAACGTCTGAGTCTCCGTTTTCTCGCGTCTGACACGGGAACGGTACTGCACTTCCCTGCACCCCGTAGGGCTGTGGCCGGGGTGGGGGGTGGGGGGTGAGCGGCAGCCCCCACGGCCTGTGTGCTCTGAAAGCTGCACGGTGACTCACACCTATGATGCCCTATGTCGGCCCTAAGGATTACAGATACTCTCTGCAGGCAGGCAGCGTGGTCTACACGGCCGTGCAGGGGCTTGGAGTAAATACTCGACAAACATGTGGGCTGCTGCGAAGGGCTGTGGTGGGCAGGCCCCGGAGGCACTGACGTAAGGTTTCCTGCCACCCCCGAGTAGAGGCAGCCGGGCCACCCTACTGGGGTGGGGTCAGGAAGAGGGGGTAGGCCCGAGGGCTTGATAACCTGTCTACTTCCTCTACCACCCAGCCACATCAAAGCAGGAGCGACTGTTTCACTCGTCGCCATGGCAACTGGCTCCCTACAGCTCCTTGGGTGAAGGGACCACGGCCCTTGTCATCTTCTCCTTGTGACCTTATCAGCACCCGTTTCTGCAGGTACCACTGCCCCCTCCCAGCGACGTGAGATCCACCGAGGCCAGCATCAAGCTTCCAATTGCTCTGAGGGGGAAGGCGTTATTACACTCCCATTTTACAGATGCTCCTATAAATTAAATAAATTAAAGAAATGTCCTGCCCAAGGCCCCACCGCTCCAGGATTTGAGGCCACAGTGGCCTCATACCGACTGATTCAGCCTCAGCTTCTCCTCTGAGAGCTTATTCCGTGGCCTCCATCCCGGGCCTCTGCGCCACTGCCTCCCTCAGCCGGATGGGGAGATCCGTGGGTGGGGGCACTCAGGAATCAGGCCACGACATTCCCACGTGCCGAAACAATAATCTCACTAAAGCACTTTCCAACAAGCCCACCGAGGGGTCCTGCAGAGAAGGGTAATCTAGCTTCACGGACTCTTTGCTACGGAGGAGGGCTCGGGTTCTGGGAAATGAGAGGTGAACTCGGGGGAGTCAGATGAGGGGAACGGATTTTTGTTCCGTAGAAAAGAGAACCCCACAGGTTAGGGCGCTATTCCCCTCTGGGACCTTCACTGATTTCGTATCTAATTTTGCAGCCTTATTCTCGCTTCTGTGAGGAGCTTTTCTCCAAGATATTTGTTTATGAGAGAGAGAGAGAGATGAGAAAGAGGGAGGCGGGAGGGAGGCAGATAGCACGGAGGCTGATGCAGGGCTCGAACTTACAAACGGTGAGATCATGACCTGAGCCAAAATCCAGAGTTAGACGTTCAACTGCCTGAGCCACCCAGGCGCCCCTGTGAGCTACCTCATTCAGCCTCTCACACCCTCCTTTATTTTTTTTATGTTTTTTTTTAATGTTTTTCATTTATTTCTAGAAGGAAGAGAGAGAGAGAGAGAGAGAGAGAGAGACAGCGTGAGCAGGGGAGGGTCAGAGAGAGAGGGAGTCACAGACTCTGAAACAGGCTCCAGGCTCTGAGCTGGCAGTCAGCACAGAGCCCGACTCTGGGCTCGAACCCACGAACCGCGAGATCATGACCTAAGCGAAAGTCGGACGCTTAACCGATTAAGCCACCCAGGCGGCCCCTCTCACACCTTCCGTTAAGCCGGCTCCCTCTCCCTCAGTAACGAGCGCTCTGTGTCTTCGACAAAGGCTTACTATACATCTGTGCATGCTGATTTTTTTTTTAACTGTTTGAAAATGACTCTCTGATGTGAGAAAGCGTTTATGATTTACTATTTTGGTTCTGCTTTCCCTGGAAGAGGACAGGTTCTGAGCACAGGCGGCCTGGCATGGACTGCCTCTCTCTCCAGGCATTTGCCTTCTCCGCCATCACCAAGACACCTGAAGCGTCACATGCTCCCCAGGTGATGTCGAGGTAAAGGGGAAGGCGCTCAGCAGAGAGTGACCGGGGCTTCCAGGGTCCCTCTTGCTTGGGGTCCAAGAGCCTTCATTCCATCCTTACCTCCAGTTCCGGCCTTGCCCGGCCCTTGTCCCCAGGCTTAGAACCCCACCGTCCCAGCGTCTGGCCTTGACCCTTCCCAGCCAGCCCTCCATGCCACCTCTGCTCGCTGGGCTGCCCAGAACAGAGTCCCTGCTCAGCTGTCCCCCCAAAACGTCTCAAGGCGTGGCATTCTTTCAGGGCGGAAGTCACAGGGCTCTACTTGCATCTGGGACGCGGTCTTCCAGCGCGCAAGCGACCCAGCCCTACATCTCCCTTATCGGTTTCAAAGTAAGAAAGAGTCACTTAGACCTTTGATTAGCGACCGAAGGCCCTGCCAAGGTACTTGCATTTCATATCCCTTCTGTCTGAACGAGGGAAGGGAAGAAAAGCTTAGCATGTCTTGTGAAAGGAATCCTGGTCATCACCAAGAAGCCCAGAAGCATTACAGATCTGCTGGCCTGGGGGAGCCGCTGGGAGGAAGGGAATGAAAGAGAATCCACTGGCTTGTTCACTTAGGGAGCCTTGGGAAGTTAGATTGGCAAACTGTTCCCTGTGTGCCTGACCACTTTTCCTACTCCAGCACCTCCTCCTTGAGGCCTTCCTGATTTCTCCATTCTTCCGCCCAAGCCTCTACCATGCGGTGAGGTCCCAGGAGCAGGTAGCCTTTGGGGTTGGCCAAGCCTAACCAGGGCCTGCTCTGAGCTCTGAGCCTTGGTAACCACAGATAGCTGATTGGCTGGGCAGGGAGATCTGCTGATTGGCTAGCAGGAGGCAGTTAAGCTGATTGGTTGGGAGAAGACCGCTCAGCTGATTGGCTGGGAGGAGAGAGGTACATTGGTTAGGGGAAGACAGATAAGCTGATTGGCTGGGAGAAGACAAATCAGATGACTGTGCAAGGAAGTCAGGAGCCCCTCCAAAGGAATTTACACACAAAGCTTCAGTCCTGAGCTTTCCAGGGTCCACGAATTGTTGGGGACTAAGATGTAATACTCCTGTCCTGTGTGTGTTTAATGTGTATGATAAGAATTAAATGCCAGCATTTTTACACAAGTTACTCAGCATTTTTTCCCCTGGGTAACTCTGTATCTACATCTTTAATGAGCAAATAGCTCTATAAAAGCTTTACATTTTATGCTCTCAAATCTGTCAGCCTTTTCTTTTCTAATTTTTTCCTTGGGGGAGGGCATGTTTGGTGTCTAGGTGGTTCATGTCACCTAGCTTTCTTCTATGACATTCATGGTTTTGTTTCCCACACTTCCACCTTTGATCTACCTGCAATCGATTTTACGTTTGAGATCGAATTCTTACATTCTTTGAGATAGAATTATAACTCATTTTTAATGGTCTGTCAGTTGTTCTGATACTATTTATTAAATGCCTGATTTTATTCATCATTGGTTTCAGGATACCACTTTGTCATGTAACAAATCTTTCTATATTTAGCCTGTTTCTAGTCATTCTGTGTTGTTCCATTAACTTATCTATTCTTATACCAATAGTGCACTATTTTAATAACTTAAGCCTAATAGTTCTAAGAGACCTAGTAAGGGAAATACTCCATTCTTACACTGTTAAGAATACATAAATATGTGCATGATAAATGCATAAATAAATGTTACTGGAGAGCATTTATTCTTTCCCTAGACTTTATTTTGTTAAATTTTAAAAGATATTGTTGCTATTTTTAAATCACGGTTACATTTATTTCCACAACACCCGCTGTTACTACAATATTGATTCAATCTGGCAACATGTCTCCTAAATTACTTATCCTTCAGTTAAGTTTGTGTCTCTATGTAGGTGATTCACATCTCTCTGACTTCTCTTGCATTTTTAGTTGCTATTATAAATTGTCCCCTCCCCACCACTATGTCTTCTTACTGGTTAATGCAATCATGTGGAAAGCTCTTAGCTACCTGTTTACTAGTTCTGACAGTTCTTCAGTGATTCTCTTGGCCTTGACAGATTAGCAATTATTTGATTTCTGCATAATTAAATTGTTATCTTTCCGGAAGAGGCACTATTCTTTCTTTTTGCCTTTTTGCATAAGCAAAATATCAGTAAGCACAAAGACGGAGGTTATTGACTTAAATGGAAATGCCTCTAGTATTTTGCTGTGGGCTGTTACCCTATTAAGAACACTTTCATGTATTAATAGTGTCCATATATTAGAGCTGTTTTGAATATTAGGAATGAATGTCGAGTTCTATCAAATGTTTTAGGGGCATCTATTGAGGTGTTTATGTGACGTTATTTGTTTGAGCAACTGCTGTTGATGAATTACTGTATCACGCCACCTCGCGGTCACGCTTACCGGCTAGGTTTTCCCTTGCGCTGTAAGTTTGCTAGGACCTCGTTCTCACGTCTGTTATAACACCCGTGAAGTTTGAAGAATTCCTACTTACTTCTCAGACTCTGCAGGTGAAAACTGAGCAGGAGACCCTTGTCCACACCATCATGGCACCCCTCAACCTGTCTGTTCCTGGCACCCGCTTCCCTGGCCAGCACTGAATCTATCCACCCATCGCTTCCCTATGTGATCCCGAGGCAAAGAGAACAAGCAAGGGCCTATTGTCAGCGTTGTGGAGGCGTCTCTGTCTGACCCGGGCAGTCTCAGAGGCCCTCTGGCAAAGCAGAGCACAGGCAAAGGCCATGTAGTGGGGTCTCCCTGCCTTGAACCCCTAAGGGTTCCTCCCTGAGTGACCCCTGTGTTCCCTGCTCTCAGCCATCTGAGGCTGTGTGCACCGTGAGGAGGAGACCCTGGCCCTGTGCACCTGATCCCTTCCCCCCCACTCACCTGGGGCCTTGAGTTCGGCATCAATGAAGGTGAGCAGCTCCTGACAGATACTGCAGTAGGGAACCGGCCAGGTCAGGAATCGATGATAGGTTCTGGCTGCTTTCAGAAGGAGATCTGAATCGGGTGGGAAGTGTGGTGTCTGGGACGGAAAAGGGAGGAGCAAGCAGAGAGGTCTGGGTAAGAGAGCGCTCACTGGGATTCCAGAGCACACCCGCTCCCTTCTGCTATGTTCCACGGAAGGCACAGCGCTCCTGGCAGCAGTATGTGCAGAGACGAGTTCAGAAAGAACCGGAGTGACTTACAGATGGGCAAGATGGCACCCAGGGCCACCTTTACTGTCAGGGCCGTGTTTTCACCACACGTAATACCTAATGCACGAGATATCTAATTAGATATGCATTAGATATCTAATGCATTCATATCTAATGCACGAGAGCGCCCCTCTGAAAAGCTGTCACCCTGGAGGTCATCCTAAATGGTACCATTGCCACAACTCCTCTGAGGGGACGGTCTTCAATGCCCGAACTACCCTTCAATACCCTCACCGAGGCAGATGTTCATGCTTTGAAGTGGATTGGCTCCACGTGTGTAGAGTCATCGGATGCCACCGGTCTGGTGAGTACGGGATGATAACACACTGGGTGACACAGACTCCCGGGGTACAGAATGACAGGGACCTAAGATCTCTCAGCGGGATCTGCTTCCTGGCTTGTGAACAGGCTGTTGACAGCTGTCCCCTCCATGGGAGCCCGAATATGCCAGGCACCATGACATCTGCATACAGTTATGGAAGCCTCTCAAGATGGCCGCTCTGATGCCATCAGAGGCTTTTATATATTTAGCCTGTTTCCAGCCATTCAGGGAGTTACGGGGTCATCCTGGTGCCAGACGGCTTACACCCATTTCAAGGTTGTGGCTTGACAGGTATCCTCTCTAAGTTGTATCTGGAGGTATAAGGGCTCCGCCTCCATGGACACCGGCCCTCACTGTCCCCTCTTGGCTCCCCCAGCTGCCCGCCTCCCGGAACTTACGCAGAGAACAGTGGAGTAGAAAAGCAGAGCCAGGGGGGCGAGAAGGTCATAGGTGCCCTTCTCCTGGACCTGTGGACAGGACAGGACAGGTGAGACTCCTCTCAGGTGCAGAACTGAGCAGCGCTTTCTTACTCTGCACTTTCTTTTCTTTCTTACGTGAAAGGCAATGTAACCACAAGGCAGGAATTTGGGAAATACAAGTTTAAAAAAAAAAACCAACACTCACAATATCCCCCCCCCCCCCCCCGCCAAATGAACATAACCAGAGCTAATGTCCCAATGCTTCTCCTAACACCATTTTTCTCTTTGTTTTTCTCTGCAAACTTGGAAATCATAGCATGGATGTTTTTACCCTATAATATTACAAATGAATTTGTTTTGCTGCATCATCTCTAAGATCACCGTTTCCCCAGCCCTGGTGTTCCTGGTTATGCATTTCCTTTTCATTTGTGTTCTAAGTCTTTTTTAAAATGTGTTGTGTGTTTTAGTTGCATAGGGTTTTCTTTTCTGACATCGTGATATTAGAAATGTTCATTTGTCTCCTTTATGGATTTTTGTTTTTGTGTGTAATGTCATGTAAATATTCATATATATTTTTTCCTTTTTTAATTTTTTTTAAATGTTTATTTATTTTTGAGAGGGACAGAGAGAGAGAGAGAGAGAGAGAGAGAGAGGGTTAGGGGCAGAGAGAGAGGGAGACAGAATCTGAAGCAGGCTCCAGGCTCCGAGCTGTCAGCACAGAGCCTGATGCTCATGACCTGAGCAATGGTTAACTAACTGAGCCACCCAGGTGCCCTTATTTTCTTAAATTTACGTCTTTAATCTGCTTAGATTTCCATATACTGTATGGTATGTGCTAGGAATCTTACTCTGAGTTCTTCCAAATGTTTAGTAAATGTTCACTAAACCATTTAAAAAACCTTACTGATGCATTTTTTGGTATATTAAAATGTTTATATCTTTGGATAAGTGTTCGCTTTGGTAGCACATAAACTATATCTTTGGATAATATCCATCTTTTTATTACCTGTATAATATTCCTTCTGATAGATCTCCGTAATGTGTTAGTTTTATTTTGGACACGTGAGATTATTTTCTTGCTACTCTAAATACTTTTACAATGAAAAACTTTTTGGACGTTACTTTTTCTATAATTTGGATTATTTATCTAGGTTGGGGTTCAGGAAGTAGAATCAATGGATCAAAGACTACAACTATTTCTTTTAAAAAAAATTTTTTTTATGTTTAGTTATTTTTGGGAGAGAGAGAGAGAGACCGTGAGTGGGAGAAGGGCAGAGAGAGAGAGGGAGACACAGAATCGGAAGGAGGTCCTGGACTCTGAGCTGTCAGCACAGAGCCTGACGTGGGGCTTGAACCCACAAACTGTGAGATCATGACCTGAGCCAAAGTCGGATGCTTAACCGACAGAGCCACCCAGGCGCCCCTATAAACCTATTTCTGACCTTTAAAACGTGTTGCCAAGTTGCTTTCCAAAAGGACTGTGCCAATTATAATACCCTCTATGTCGGAAGGTACCAGTTTCGCTATACCCTTCCCTGAACTGCTTATTACAACTTTTTTTTTTTTTTTTTTGCTAATTTGCTAGGCAAAGCTGGTCTCATTGTGGTTTTAATTTGCATTTATTGTATTGTAACGGAGGCAACATTTTCTTCCGTATTTGTTTACAGGTTCTATTTATTCTTTTGTGCATCATGTCTTTGACCCGCCCACCACACTGTAGACCCACATGATTTAGAATTCTCTGGTCACAATGCTAAAGGTCTCAGCCGCCTTCCGGAGCTCGTGGGGGTTGAAGATGCAGAGAATAATACCTCACCACTGCGCTGTGAGGGGCGCCGTCAGCAGGCTCAAGCTGAGAATCCTACTCTTCTTTGCCCCGAATACACCATGTGTGTGACAGACCTTCTACAAACCCCTCCCTCTTGTCACGCGGTAGTTGCTATCTGGGCTTATCAATTAAACACCCCAAAGGTGGGTTAGGTCCTCTGAGTTGGTCTGCTTGTGGATCAGGGTATAGCAGCACCGGGTAAATGGCGGTGCCAGAACTGGCACCTTGAGTGTGTCGATAAGCCAAGGCTTCCCCAGGGACAGCTTGAGAAGGTACATGTTTTCCAACTTAGTTATATATTTTAAAAAACAAAGGAAAAAACATTAGGCAGAGAATTCTTTATAAAAGAGCCAGAATCCCCTTTCGGGACTCACAATTGTTCTGGAAGCCCAGCTGAGCCCTCGAACACACTCCTGTTCTTAGCCATCAAAGCCTACATATTCTTGACGCGCTGTTTGACAAGGTCTCAGTTTACCTTTCCAGTCACTTTTCTCCTCTGTGTCTGTTTTTATGGATTTTCGAGGAAAGGAATCGGGAGGCCCTGCTCGATGCCTGGCCTGGGAAGCCATGTCTATCTTAAGAAGGGGCTTAAACTCAGATCCCTGGCTCACGAGTCCTCGACTTCCTAGTGAAAGGACCTCACCCCTTCCTAGAAGCCTTCAATTCAAAAGCATCCGTGGAACAGAAAGCCCAGGGGTTCCCAGTGCCTTTGCGAAGGCCCTCGGTGGGCCAGGCGCCCCAGGACCGACTCCACCCCGTGGGGACCTTTCCCGGGCCGGCCCTCACCTCTCGGGTCTTCTGCAAGATGTGCTCCAGGAGGATAAGGAAGTGGCCGGGGTCCCGGCTGACCAGCTCCTGCAGGCTCCAGCAGTTGAGGCACAGCCCGGCTGGAAAGGCAGAGAGAGAGGGGGCGTTCAGCTGAGGTTTGGGGAGGAGTGGGACTCCCTGGGCTTCCCTGGGGAATCCCTTTCTGCAGAGTCTGAGAAAGCCCTGGGTCAACAGTGCACTCGCTCGGGCCTCATTAAGACCCAAGGACCAGCTTTTTATTCCTGCAGATGGCGGAGGCTCAAGAGACACAGAGATGCCTGGGATCCCCCGTTCGGGGCCATGATTCTGCAGCCCCGCCTCTGGAGAGCTATGCTTCTTACACACACACACACACACACACCGCCTCTGGAGAGCTACACTTCTCACTCACATACATACACACACACACACACACACCGCCTCTGGAGAGCTACACTTCTAACACACACACACACACACATACACTTCCCACCTCTGGAGAGCTACACTTCTTACACACACACACACACATACACACACACATGCCCCGCCTCTGGAGAGCTACGCTTCTCACACACACACACACACGCCCCGCCTCTGGAGAGCTACGCTTCT